CCATGCTGCAGTGAGGGAGCTGACAGGAGCGCTCCCTCCTGTCAGCCTCTCCTCAGGCTGCGCCCGGGCGGTGCGGTCCGCCCTCATGGACGCACCGCCCGGGCAAAGCTGCAGCCGCCTGAGGCTCTTCACAGAGCGCTCGGGCGGCTGCAGCATGGGGAGGGCGGGGGGCTGGCCATGGCACCCCCCACCCGGCTGGCACCCGGGGCGGACCGCCCCCACCGCCCCCCCCTTAGTACGCCACTGCTGCTGACTATAGTGTCCCTTTAAATTACAGAGTTTATTCTTATAGTTTGTTTACGACTAAACGTAAGCCTTAATTTTATGTAGTCAAATGTTGTGGCAAATGGATACAAAATAAAAGTCAGTTAAACTATAGCTCAGCGTGATTTAACTTATTTAGTAATTTTTTTTTAAAATTCTATATTTTATTTCGTTTTTGTATATATATATATATATATAAAACAGTAGACGGGGTGGGGGATACAGAAGAAAAAGGGGGAGGGTGAGGGAGGGCATATACACAGTTTTCCATTTTGTTTGTTGTCACAGGCATGGTACAGTCAAGCTTATCGGTACATTTTCATATATTTGCTTGTCGGAGTATGGTACTGTCACGGATCACGCCGTGACATCTAGTCTGCCAGACGTGGTCGCTCCGGAAACACCTGATATTGGATTTGAACTGTGGTTCTTCTGGACCGTATCCTGCCGTTCTTCCTCTGAGCCATTTTAGGACTTTGGATAACTCATGTTTATTCTTGTATTGCCTGCAGCACTTGGGGGCTGGACTTCACCAAAGGCTCAGATCTGTCAGTAACTCTCCAGCTGAATCTGATACCTAATTAACAAGATATAAAGCCTGCCTCACCCTGGGAGGGGTGTCAGTTCATTGACTTTGGTTCCCTTGTTTGGTTCCTGTTACTCCGTACCTGCGTTCCAGTGATTCCTGTCTAATTCCGGCTTCTGACCTTGGCTTTCCTCCTGAACTACTCTGACCTCTGGCTTCCCTGATTTTGGCTTCCCTTGACCACGCTTCTGCTAATCCCTGCTGTACTGAGACTTGGAGCACTTTTCCTGGAAAGCCCCCGTACACAGACTCACAGGCCAGGTGGCGTCTTACCTAGTCACCCTGGCCTGTGTCTACTTTGCAAGGGTGAGCGTATAACTCTGCGAGCTGGACTCCTTATCAGGTAAGACTCCGTTACAGGTATGTGCAGGATTGCACCGCGTGGCTCTATATGGTTGTTTCCTATCCGTGCTCAATAGAGTTGACAGAGGATTATAGGAAAAGGGTATGGTGCCAGATGTTCCTGCTGTTCCTCCTTTTCGTTTACGAGGTCTGGGAGTGAGCATTTAGTTGTGGTAGTGTAGTTCATTATGTGAACCTCCCAGTGTCCGCTATGCATGAGTCTATCCTGTGTCGTGCCTAACTTTTGTGCTGGTCCCACTCTTAATGGGGAGCGCCTTTGTGGTTGCACTATGCGTTTGGATTGGACATGATTTTTGTGGCTGTGAATCTTGCTGTATATACCAGGGAGAGAATGACAGATTGTAATGCGGGGGTTTGTAGTGTTTTTTTGATGTGTATGTCCGTTGTGCCTTGATGATTTTCCCTGTCTAATTGTCCGCTTGGCCAGATTGTGGTGTTGTATATTCCCTGTGGTTGTGGGGATGTGTGCCCAAGACTATTGTGGTTGGGGCGGTGTTGTTTGTGTCGCCAAACTGTATGTCTGGGGGTTGCGTCAGTATAGATGCTTACCAGGCGGTACGTTTTTCCGTTTTGAATGTAGACTCTATAGTTTCTGGAGTGTGCTGTAGGGTATTTTGAAGGTTTCACTGGGTCTTGTGGTGTTGGTGAGTTGTAGGTGTTGTAGTTGGAGTTGTGTTGGCCGACTCTATGGGTTTGAATGGGTGGACCAGAAGGGGCCAGCCCCCTTTCGTCTTGACCCAAGAGGCTGTGGGTGAGGGTCTCAGGTGGGTGCTGGGGGGTCTAGGGATTTGGGAGAGGGAGGGGGGGACTTGGGGAGTGGGAGGGTGGGGTGCACAAGCGAGAAAGAAGATAAATGAAAGATAGGAAGGAGAAGAGGGAAAGAGAAGGTGGTGTGTCTGGAGGTTGAGAGGTTTGTGGGACATGACCTGGAGGTACCTCGTCAGGGTGTGAACTTATTTAGTAATTTAACTGGAAGACATATTCCTGTTTGGCAATGTTATTATAGTGTTGTAATTTTAAATATGGCTTCCTAGTATACAAGATGGCTGTATCAGGTTTAAAATGGCTAACAGTGTACAAAGAGAACAAATACCAAGGACTGAGAGAGGAGCAGTAATGGATGTGGAAAGTGAAGGCAGTAGTAGTCCCAGTTATGATAGGACCACTCGGGGCTCTGACCCCACGTTAGGAGAGTGGCATCAACAGATTCTAGACAGGACATCTGAGATCGCTGTCAGACACTGCTTAATACCCTCAGACTCAGATTTTTTAAATATATAAAATGTTTTTTGTATGTACATATACATTACTTGTGTATATGTGTGTGTCTGTATGTGTGTGTATGTTGTATATAGGCCTTCATGCATATTCTGAACTCTTGGATGTGAATTCATGTATTCTTAATCTAAGTAATTAATTTTTTTACTCTGCTGTTTTTTTCTCTGGTCGTCTTGCAAAAACCGCACATTTGAGATCTCCCCAAAGTGGCTTGATTATATTAAGGTCAGGAGACTGTGATGGCCACTCCAGAACCTTCACCTTTCTCTGCTGTAACCACTGAAGGGTCAACTTGGTCTTGTGCTTAGGGTCATTGCCATGCTGGAAAGTTATTTTCTGCTCCCCATGGCTCAGTATCTAGCCTTCTCAGTGCCTTCACTTGAGAGCTAACTCACTCACTATTTATAGGTATAGGACCATCAATACAGCCTACAGACAGTTATTTGTGTGAGAATATAGTTTGCCAATATTCTTCTAGGCTGTAAATATATACAATGTCAATCCCGCCATAGTTTACATACAGACTCACTTATAGCGTGTCACTTTATTTTCACTGCAGTTGGGGTGTTCACAGAACAAGTTATAATTATAAAGGGGTTCAGACACCTTTCTATAAAAAGAGCAGTACCGTATATACTCGAGTATAAGCCTCGAGTTTTTCGGCTTATACTCGAGTCAATGTCTATATTATGGCAACTTACATTACCATAATACAGACCAGGACCGCCGGGCTCATTACAAGCGGTCCTGTTGGGGGCTGGCAGCGAGCTGTTACTTACCTTCCTGCAGCTCCTGTCAGCTCCCTTCTCCTCCGTGCAGCTCCCCGGTCAGTTCCGTTCTGCTTACAGTGTAAGTCTCGCGAGACCCGCTGGTGTCGCGAGACTTACACTGTAAGCAGAACGGAGCTGACAGGGGAGCTGCACAGAGGAGAAGGGAGCTGACAGGAGCTGCAGGAAGGTAAGTAACAGCTCACTGCCAGCCCCCCCACTGCACAGCCCATCCACTGGACCACCAGGGATTTAATATTATTAATTTAAAATTATTTTATTTTAATATTATTATTATTTTATTATATTATTTTAATATTTGCATTATTTTTTTTAAATGGTTTTTTGTCCCCCCCTCCCTGCTTGTTGCCTGGCCAGGGAGGGGGGACAAAAAAAAACATTTAAAAAAAAATTATGCAAATATTAAAATAATAATAATAACATAATAATATTAAAATAATATAATATTAAAATAATAATATTAAAATTTAAAAAATAAAATAAAAATGCCCTCCCCTCACCCAGTTTACACACACTGCACAAACACACACACTGCATTCACACAAACACACACTGCATATATACACACTGCATTCATTATATACACACAAACACACACGCTGCATTCATTATATACACACAACACACAAACACACACACACGCTGCATTCATTATATACACACAACACACAAACACACACACACTCTGCATTCATTCTATACACACACTGTAAATAAATATTCAATTAATGTAATTTTATTGGGATCTAATTTAATTTAGAAATTTACCGGTAGCTGCTGCATTTCCCACGCTAGGCTTATACTCGAGTCAATAAGTTTTCCTAGTTTTTTTGTGGTAAAATTAGGGGCCTCGGCTTATATTTGGGTCGGCTTATACTCGAGTATATACGGTATGTATGTTTGATAAAATGTATGGCTAGAGTCTATTTTCTCCTGTATAAGGAATATGATAATATGACATGTGTGGTGGGCTAGAATCCCCTTTTTCTGAATATTACTGGCCTCCTGTGTATTTACGATAACCATCTGCTGACCATTCACTACATTCAGATTACAGGTTATCCCTGGTGAATACATCGTATCCCATTTCAGAGTTTCAATCAGAGAAGTAATTTTTTCTGGTTCGCTTAAAGTTTAAGAATGTCTTATGTAACTTTAATTCATTGTAACACCCATTAGTAAAAGATCTTCATTTTGTGATGTGATTTACAAAAAACTAAGATATTTTATCAAATTTCTAACACAGACAAAAAGGCAAAATATGTTTATTTTATATGGATATATATGTAACAAGTATTAGCATAACATTTATTTGAAGCAAGGGACAGCTAGCATATAGACATATCATAACAAAACAAAACAATGCTGTCTATAGATTGCTTTGCAGACAAATATAAAAATTTAAATTCTGTAAATGTGCACAATATTTATATTTCACTTATCTATTCATCTTTCATAAAATGATTTGGAAAGCAAAGGTTTTAGACATCACAGTGTCCTTTATCTTGCAATATTTCACACGGGGTCTGAAATGTTATTATAAAAGCACAATTATACAATTATTGTAATAAATACAACTGGATGCATTACTAGCAGTGCAAAATAATTTCCTTAAAGAGGAAGTGCGATACAAAGCTCTTAAAAACAAATATAAGTAGATTAAACACACCCAATGCTTCCTCTTCCTTGCCCACATCCGAATTGAACAATACAGAAGTATGTTGTAAGTGAAAAAACACTTTAAGAATAAAGTGGAGCGCTCTAAAAACAATAACAAATAGTTATCTAAGTAGTTATTTAACCATGTATACATTAAAAACACAATTTAGAGAACAAATGAAAAGGCTAAGATAAAATAATGTATTGTTTCTAGTGTGCTTCACTGTAGGTGTTTTACTTACAAGATACTTCTATATTACTAACAGTACATCTTACTGAAAATGGCAACAGAATTTTAGCATAATATTCACAGTAAATGCAAATAAATCATATATTTCTAAAACAAAGGTATGTTAAACTGCTATAGCAATCTTCATCAAACTCAGGACTGCTAATGTAATACTAATACTAAAATGGTAGAGTCCATTCCCTCCTCCACCCTCCCTGACTGTAGGATTGGAATGATCCATTGAAACTTCCTGTGCTTCCTGTACCAGTGAGCTGACATTTAACCAGTGGCTTCTGGCAGAGAAATGAGTTCCTCTATAGTCTGGTAATCATAACTAGAGTATAAATAAAGGTGAGTAAGGCTTTATGGACTAGATTTCATTCTTCAAAATACATGATAACAACATTTATACTTGATTTAGGTAATGGTAAAAAAAATCAGATAAAAAAAAATACTTAGTATGCATATTATATGTATTTTGTTTATCTTTCAGATTATTAAAAAAATATAAAACATTAAAACAGGCAGCAAATGTTGATAATGTAAATGAATAAAAATATGCATTACAATCGTGGACAAATTTACTCAGAACTTTTGGAAGTCAGATGGGTTTTTGTGGATAACTTGGATTTTATGGCAATGTATGCAAATTATTTAGTTGATTAAATAAATAATTTGGTTGATTAATGTAAATAATTAGGTGGTTTGTGTTGTTTAAGATATTTTCCTAAACCCAGCGATGGACGAGAGTGAGTCCGGTGAAGATCATCCAAATCCAGAAGCCGGAGAGACCTCCTCCATGAGCTGCAAAACAACAAAATTCACAGCATTGTCTGCATTTTATAAAATAAACCTATTGTATCAATACTGTCTTTATAAAATGAAATGGAGGAATTTTTATTTGTTCATACAACGATGCCCATATCTCCCCTTGGAGACATAAAGCTCCTTCTTGCTCTGTTTTGGTTCCTTCTCAGAGCAGCCGGGATCTGCAGGAATATATTTATTATATTGTCCCCGGCTGTAACGAACAGAGTCCATGGTTTTCACTATATGACCGGAGACAACTGACCATCTGTAGCGGGCCAATGGTATCCTGACTGGTTATCTCAGCTAATACATACCGAAGTAACCGGAGGACACAGTGCCAGGGGTACAACAACAACTTTATTGGCCATACTCGGATTTATACTTTCCCCATGCAAGGGGTAGAACACACACAATGATAATGTCCCCTCCCTGAGTCCTCCCCCTCCACGAGGTCACACAACGGAACCAGAATCCCAATCCCTTTGTCCCCTGTTCACTCAGTGCCCCCCCCAGGGTGTTCCCCCTCCCAGGGGCATTTGCGTGTGACAGGAACTCTAGTCCCTTTGTCCCCAGTTCCTGCCACCCCTACTCAGGTTTCCCCACCTCCGGTGACCAGGGGTCTTCCTACCATGAGCCTCTGTAACTGGGAGCCCCAGCGCGGGAAAGCTTCCCGCTTTTGTGACTCCCAGCCACAGAACGCCAGCAAAACTGCCATTGTCCCAAAGGAATGTCCCCATTAATCTCAGGGACCCCTAGAACAGTAATCGTCATGAACAGCTTCTGTTTGCAGGGTCCCTGGGTGAAAGGGACACGAATGCTCCCCCTGGCCGCCGCTCATCTATCCGAGCGGTGGCCATCCAGGGAAGCACTCATTAATTACTTCCCTTGCGGTTTCACACTTATGTTGCAAGTTGCCAACGTTCCAATTGATTGGTGTGAACATTCCAAGGGGTACTGGGGAGGTCCTCGTTTGGGAACCGAACGAGACAAGAAGCAATCTATGAATGCTCCCCCTGGACAGTGTCCATCTAACGAACGGGTTGCCACCCAGGGTTGGTGGCGCCGAGGCTTTCCTTGCGGTTTTCACACCTCGTTAGCGAGGTGTGAACGTTCTAAATAAACATTCTAAATGGGAACTTGTAGTGGTCCCCGTTCGGGA